TTGAGAAATTATCTTGTGTATTAAAATCAATTCACCTAAGAGCTATTGAAAGAAATCACTGAATTTTTGATAAAAATCCTAATAAAAAAGATCAGATCTTGAAAAAAGTAAAAACAAACTGCTGTGTCTTATTGGTCTGGCAAGTAACACCATTGAGAAATGGTTTTAGGTATTCAGACTGATTTATCCAGAAACTATTGAAAAAAGTCTCATCATTTTAGATAAAAAAATATATAATAAAAAAAGATGAGATTGTGTGAAATGTGTTAAAAGTGTTGTGTCTTGTAAATGTAGTTTAGTAGCAAACTCAAACGTAATTTTGAGTCATGTAGGCATTTATTCTGGAAGTTTTTTATTTTTTATTTTTGTATTCGTTTACAAAGGACTACAAATTTGTTGATGGTCCCTAAACGAACCACCGTTCTCATTGGCGACTCCTCGGACGGAACTCAGCTAACCGCAGTCTGTGCCGGAGCGCGCGGCATGAAGAGTTGTCGCTAACCGGGGGAACCAATGTCTGACAAATATCCAACAGGGGCGTGTCCAGGGAGTGGCCTGGGGTAGCACATGCCACCCTTGGAATCTGATTGACCACCCCCAGGTGCCACCACACTAATTTACCTTTAAATAGGCTTTTCATTGTCTACAAAAGGCTTGAGGGTAAAACAAAAAAGTATAACCATTGGTGCCACCCATGCACAAAGTTGTGCCTCACATGGGCCACCCCATTTTAATAGATCTAGACACGCCACTGATATCCAACGTCCAACTTTAAGCTAACTTCACCGCGATGATTTACCACGCACGCAAGTAGATTTTCCTTTATAATAAAAAAAAGTCGCTGCACCCCTCCTGAACGCAGCTGCAAATCATAATTCAGAAATATCTTCTTCAGTATCTTTATTTGTCATCATCTGGGACCACAAACCAAAAACACTAGAGATCCACAGAGAGGAAGAACCCCCCCGGGATGGGAGCTTTGTAGGAATTAGATTAGAGGATTCCCTGCAGCAGTACCATTGCTCCGCCACACGGGGGAGGCATTGACTCAGGCCAGTGTTTCTCAGTTCCGGTCTCCAGGACCCCTGCTCTGTATCCATGTTGCCTTTTGAAAAACGTGTTTCCCTACTGCCTCACACCTGATTTAAGAATAAGTGATTCATCTGTATCTGCAGCACTCCACGTCCTCCTGAAGGAGGCAATACAAATATGAAAATTAAGTAGAAGCAGAGACAGGAAAACATATAAGACAAGTGGTCCTGAGGATTGGAATTGAGAAACGCTGACTTAGGCCAAGACACATCATGGTCAGAAATGTGAATTTTAATTTTGAAAATGGCTCTTTAGCGAAAGATTTCAAAACATGTCGGGGTCATGGGAAGCGTAACTGCAAACAAAAAAAAATGCAATATAAAGTGTCAATCTGGTAATTATTATGTTGCAATTAAATCACAACTCAATCAGTTTATTTATAGCGCCAAATCACAACATCTCAGGCATTTCACAAAGTAAACATTCCAAATAAACCTACTTTCCAGTGCATTGAGTGTCATTATGACAATCAGTTAAAAGTTTAATATGAAATGCCAGCAGATTGCACCGAGTCAGCAAGTAGCAACAGTGGAGAGGAAAACTCTCCTTTAACAGGAAAAACCTCCAAAAGAGCCTGGCTCAGTATGAGCAGCCATCTGCTGCGATTCACTGACGAACACAGTCTCCTCCCAAACTCCATAAGGTCATCTATTGGCTCTGCTGATACTTGCTAACATATGATTGGCCGCTTCTGCCACCTGTGTACTTGACAGTTCTGCATTTCTGACATTGTCTAAAAGAGCCTCTAGGCTGTAGTTCTATACATGTTTTTGTATACTTACTGTAAAGACCCCCCCCCCCCCCCCACCCACACTCCCGGTCCTCATGCCTGTTGTTGTTTGCCCCCCCCCCTCAAAGCTACGCCCATAGTTCGGTGGCTATTATTTAACTCATTTATATCTTAAAGTAAACGTTTATTTACATCACCATGGTATTTGCTTCTTCTTCTTGCAAACTGACCACACTGGTAAAGCCACGCGTCTCTAAGCTGAAAACAGATCTGTTCTGGAACAATAAAACACATTTTCTGGTAAGAAAGTAAACATTTTCATCACAAATATTTTTTTGCATATATCCATTGTGTTATAGGCACAATTGTTTGACTTGCATCAGCTCAAGCAGTAGTTTCTCTTCTTTGGTTTGGTATCTAGCACAAGTGAAGCTAAATGCTAAAAATGCTAAGCTTAACCTGGCATGGGGTGGGTAACAGATCTGAAAAGTTGTCACAAATTCCCCCTACCATGTTATCATTTTACACTTGTCTCAGATCAACATCATGCCTAGGCATTGGATGCATAAAACAGCCAGCGGTGTCCCAGCAGAAGAAGAAAATAAAAACCATAAGGCCTAAGCTGACGACACTAAAGAGGCAGACTCGTCAGACGACGATGAAAATGTCTGCACTGTGTGCTTGGAGCATTTTGATAACTCACAGCCAAAGGAAGAGTGGATCAGAGTCAGCATTGTGCATTTTGGGCCATGAATCAAAGTGTCTCTGTACATTTATTAGAGTGGATCTTTTTAAGCCTAATAATTTAACTGTTACATCCATCCCCGAGCAGTGTTCCATCTCACCCCGGTACTGCGTTGGGTTGGAACAACATACCTCTAACCTGTGATGATGTGGTAGAAGTCCAAATGCATGCTCTCTGTAGCAGACAAACATGGGTACCACATGATATAAATGGAGCCCTCTACCACAAAGAACCACTTAGCTTCATTTGCTCAAACAAAAGTGTTGCAACCATCCCCGGTCTTCCTGATTGGCTCATTTTTCATGTTCCTTTTATATATAAAAAAAAAATCAGTAAAATTTCATGATAGTTTTTGTGTTTTAGAAATTTCAGAAAACAGTTTAACCACTTTCTCTTTCTGAATGACTAAAATGAATAAATTCCTCGTGTTCTCGCTAAATCCTGCTATTCTGCTGCAGCAGTTCTCATCAGAAACGAATAAACAGATGGTTGCTCAGATTCATTTAAAAGGCAAACACGTTTGGTGACTTTGAGACAACACCAGCCGCCCCAAAGAATGTCCCCGAACCAGTCTGATCATTCAGTTGCTTCTTTCTGAGCTTGTCATGGGGGTGCACACTGACAGAAATAAAAGAAACGGGTGAAAACGTCACATGGTTGGTGTTTCCTGTCAGATACTGAGAAGATCCAGCTAGTTTCGATAAAGGAGCAGTCAGACTTGGGTTTATGCCGAGACGTTGCAGAACGTTTTTGGTCCAGCTTTAAATGAAGTACTGAGGTGAGTAAACATCTTTCTGTGCAACAAGTTTTAAGATGTTTTTACAAGGACTGTGTTGTTAAAGGCATATGATGCTCTGCTTTTAGTTTAATTTGTAATGAATGAAACTACTTGATCAACTGCTTTAAATAGAAAATATGTTAAATGCATGATTCACCCAATACTGGAAAAAAGTACATTTAAACAGCAGAAAATGGATGCAAAGAACAAAAATAAAACTGACTTTTGGTTAAAGGTGTTCATTTCCCTCCTGCAGCTTCATAAGCTATGGGTGGTTCCTCCTTAAAAAAGGTCTTCATTTGGAAGAGGAAGAAGAAAAACAAGTCACCTTTGAACAAAGCCTTCAAGCAGCTGAAGAGGGCGCTACCAAAGAAGAAAACCAAGAGGAAGGGCCTCCTGGAAAAACTCAACCTGAAGAAGGACAAACAGAAAAAATCTGACAAGAAGAAGGCAGCAAAGCGGAAGGGGCTTTCTCTGGGTCTCCTAAGGAAGGAGTCGGCTCCGAGTGCTTCAGATGGGAAGAAGGAAAAAGACAGAGACGGGCTGGGCCGAGTCGGGGAGAAGATAAGAAAGAAACTTTCACTAGAAAATAAAAAAGAGCCGAGTGCTGAAACACAGGCGGGTCCTGAGGCTGTAAACTTGAAGGAAACAGAGAGGAAAACAACCCTAAAGAAGCTGAAACTGATCATCAGGCCCAGCAAAGCAACAGAAATCAAAGCAAACGACTAAAAGATTCTAAAGTACATCAAGTTTTTATTATTGTGAGCTACATCAAGTGGTTTTGCTCAGAAATAAGACGACATTAAATATTAAAGCTACACCTGTTCGATTTTACATGAGCCGACTGCCTGCGCTAACAACTGTGATCAATAAAGTTTTGTATCACACAACTTACAGGTGTTTTTGCAACAGTTCATCTCAAACAAATATACATTCTGTAACTAGCCAAACTAAACATGCCATAGCTGCAAATAAATAAGAAATAAACACTCTGCACAACCCAACAGGGCACTTCTTTCAAAAATAGCAAAAAAATAGTTCATTGTTGTTTATGGTGCACAATAATGTTGAGAATCACATAAAATAGTCATAAAAATATAAAACAAGCAGGAGCTGATGCAAAAAGAAAAATGATTTTAAAAAGCCTCAGGTGTGTTAATGCAACATGTTAGATTGTTGTATTAACTTTACTCGTGATTCTTTGGCTTTCTTCTGTGGCAGCTTATTCAGATGTTTGTTTTATGAAGCTGTGAACGTACTTTCTTCTGTATAGCTACTGAAAAAGTGGAACGGGGAAGTAAAGGGTCAAAGTTCAAACTCCAGACCGCCGAGTATGAAGGGAAACCTTGAAAAAAGCTTTTATCAGAGCGGTAATCTATGAAGACTTCAGTTAAATAATTTAAAATATATATTTAAAAAAAACTAATAAAAAGTTGGCACGGAAGCTGGAGAAGTCAGGATAAAACTAGAGAAAAATTAAAAACGTAATTCGAATGGGGTTACAAAAATCCTAAAACAATCACCAACTTGGGAGGGAGAAACCAAAAAGAATAGGTCTCCGTGCAAAACATAGGCTGCTTGTAAAGACTTAAGACTCTTTACATATTTAAATAAGAAATCCAACTGGTTCTTGTAAGTTCAGCTGCCTTTTGCATCCTTGCAAACATTTATCTACTCATAAAACAACAAGACAAGGGTTAAATCAGATATCTGGAGGCGGAGCCTTTTCGCTCTTCTTTTGCACCTCAAAACATGAATCAACAGGACGAAGCAGATGGAAATCCTTTCTGATCTCACAGATCTAGGATCATGGGCTAAAACAGCTCCAGGATGTAGAATTAGCAATTTAAGAGTAGTTTCATAAGATAATCATGACCTGATGCCACCGCAGGCTCATCTTTAGTCAATTCTTGGTATTTTTATTTCTTCTGCACACTTGTCTGCTAATTCCAGGAGTCTTTCCTCCGTCTAAGTCTCCTTGAGGAAAAATCAGCTGATCATTTGAGTAAAAAAAAAATCCAATCTGTCTTTTCTAGAAAACCTCTGGAACCTTTCACTTTCTTTTGTATAAAACAGCCGCTGTGGGTCAGTTTAACGGTCGAATGCTTGGTGAAGTTTCTCCTTTGATTCATCGACAATCAGCTGTTTGTTCAGGTCTTGAGCTGAACTTTACAGGAAGCCCTCTGACGCTACTGGGTTGTTGTCCGCATCTCGGCGTATGAGAACAGTCCCGTTGTTGTCCCCTTTTTTCCGGACAGTATGGTGCTTCAAGGTGGTGGAGACACAAATCCCAAGATGAGAGTCGGAATGAGTAGAAGGGGAGTGGAGGTATGGAGCAGGCGGGATGCAAAGACAAAAATAAAAATAAAAAAGAGAGTTTGTGTTAGTCAAAATAAAGTCCCAAGCACACAGCAAGGCTAAAACTGAAAGCTATTCAGAGTATTTCAAATACAGTGGCAAAGGGAGTAAAGTTAGATGAGCGAAAAAACAAGCAAACGTAAATTTAGCTTTTTTGTCTACATCATATTTTCTTAAAGACCAAGTTTACTTGTTTGTCGTGTTCTCTGGTATTAACTCCTTGACTGCCATTTGCAATTTTTTACTGTGTGGGTGTCGGAACGACCCCCGCACCTTGAGAAGAAACATCCCAGCTCTAAAGCCGATCTTCATCCGCGTATGTCACACGTCACTAGGGATGGGTACCGAATTCGGTACTTTTTAAGGTACCGACCGAATTCCACAGTACCGACTGAGCACCGATTCAATTCATTTGAAACAGTGCCTCGTTTCGGTACCCGTCCTTCATAACGAGAACTTGCCTAGACAGCTGCGCATGCGCAAGAGCGTTACGTCATCGGTAGGTAAATAAAATGTTTAAGATAACGTTAGCTTGATTTGTTAGCTTCCGCTTCACTAATGGTGCATTCGCTTTCTCCTCGGAACTCTGAAATTCTGACTAGAAGAACATGAATGCGCTCTAACATTTGGCATCACTTTACTAAATGCGATGGGTGATTGGGTGAAGATGAAACCAGTGACAAAGATTTAAGTTTGAGGCATCATCGTTTTAATCTGCTCCAGCAGTTAAATAAACTGTTTAAGATAACGTTAGCTTGATATGTTAGCTTCCTACGCCACCATTGTTATCATCTAATGGTGTGTTCGCTTTCTCCTCGGAAATTCTAACTTTCCAGTAGGAAAAATCAATTGAAAAAGGACGGTAAAAGGAATGAAGATACACAGTAAATTTAGTTCACAGTAAAGATGTTTGCTTCAGTTTAATTATCAGCTTATAAAACTACAAAGACGATGTTAAAATACAAACAGTTGTATGTTATTTATCGTGATATTTATCAAATATGGTTATATATTGAGAAAAATATATATTTAATTATAAAAGAGAATTAAAAATATTAAACACTCAAAAGTATCGAAAATTGGTACCGTTAAGTACCGGTATCGATTTGTAGGTACCGGGAATTAGTACCGGATTGATTCAAATGTCAAAGGTACCCATCCCTACACGTCACATGATCAGGAAGCAGAAAATCCACGTGTTAGGAGATCGTTTTGGGCTGTTGCTGTAAAAAGAGTGAGGCGCGAAACGGAAAAGCTTCTGCCGATCAAAGTTCGACAACGAATTATGAAAGAAAGGATAACGCTCGAAACACACTGATTCTTCCTGATGTAAAAGGTGAGTCTCCTCTTTGTTTTGGTAGTGACTCTTAAAAAAACAGTGAAAATGCTAAAAAAAAAATACGCTGGCAGCGAAAGGCTTTTCTGATCAGGAAACAGCTGGCAGTTAGTGAGTTAATGACTTGAGAGGCTCTGGCACTTCAGTTTCAGGAAGTAAAAGTGAGCCAGAAAAGGGGAGGAGCAAAAGATGGCACGATTGGGAGTCTTATTTAGTGATAATTGGATAGCTCGCCTCTGATTGGTTAACAGCAACGTGACTGTACCACTGACTTCATTTGCTTTGCAACGTCGATGTTTTACCTCCAAAAGTAACACAAGCCTGAATGAGATCTGCCATGTGGTGGAGTTGCTAATGCTAAAGGTTAGCTTCTATCAGCTGGGACATTTTCTGCTGTTTCCTGGGCGCTAAAATCAACATCAGCTCCCCCCTGTAGCGGACAGTGATGGGTGAATGCTAATTTTCAGTGTGATATAGATCTGACTGGCTTTTCTAATCCAAGCGTTTCCTGTCTGTTTTCTATTAGTGTCTAATGCAGGAAATAGAGGCAGAAGACTATTTTAATATTCAGCCTGCATGTTAAACTCAGCGTGACCGATCATATTTAAAAAATAACAAGAAAAACTGATTTCTCAGTGAACTTGGTCTTTAAAGCAAGCAGACAAAACAGACAAATAAACACACGTGTAGCCAAACGGTCCATTAATTTTAATCAGTTATTATACTGTTCGTACAGGAATAAATCCCAAAATAACCCTTAAAATGATACGAAATACAAAAAAATAAAAAATAAATGCTAAATGTTTGACTAAAACGTGACAGGAAATACTGACATGTTGCTTAGTTTGAAATAAAACAAAACAAAACTTTTAAATGATACTGTCACCCATTTAATGGCATATTCTAATCAACATTCTTGCTAAGGGTCTTCTGTTACTGGTTTACTGTCGCCAAGAAAAGCATCACGGTAAACAGTGGCGTGTCAAGATCTTTTAAAATGGGGTGGCCCAGGTGAGGCACAACTTTGTGCATGGGTGGCACCGATGGTTATGCTTTTTTTGTTTTACCCCCAGCCTTTTGTGGACAATGAAAAGCCTATTTAAAGGTAAATTAGTGTGGTGGCACCTGGGGTGGCCAATTAGATTCCAAGGGTGGCATGTGCTACCCCAGGCCACCCCCTGGACACGCCCCTGACAGTAAATTCAAATAGAAACACAGAAAAGATTTTCTGTACTGCCGTTTCCTGATCAAGTTTCACTTTTAAAACTCATGTCAAAAGACAAAAATCCAAAAGCCTGCCCTTTTAAAGCATTCTCACTCAAAAACACCCGTGCAAAAACATAAGAGGCTCGTAACCACTTCTTCTTGTTCTCGTTTGCGTGCATGAGAGGGCGCATGAGTGTGAGAGACAGCACGTGTGGGTATGTGTGTGTATGAGACGTGCCAGAGTAACTAGTCAGAGGAAATGTGGCAAGCAGCGTGACCTGCTCTAATCACCAGAAAGCATCTGGTCTGAAAATGTTTCTATCAGGGCAAAAATGTTACAAAGGGCTTCTTAAGGAGGTCACTCGTTAATGACAGAATAATCTTTCCAGATGGAACATTTCTATTACAGATTATTTCAGTGAGTCATGAAAATGGCACAAAAAATGCAAGGAGTGTCAAGTGAGTGGCAAAGTACATGAGGAATGCATGTATTGGTAACCAAAATATAGATGCAGAGGCGGTTCTAGGGGCTATCCAGGGTGGGCTAACGCCATCCTAACAGCAAGCTTGGCCCCCCTCTAACGTTAGTCTAAAACGGGGGTCCTCAGGAGCATTATAGGCTGCCCTCAGTCCTGCTTTAAAAAGTGGCACAATCATTTTCTGCTGCAAGCTTCTTCTTTTTTGTATCACAGTCTGTGATTAAAAACATGGCTTACAGAGTTGTGAGAACTATAGAGGAACAAATCACACGAGTTATAAAATGAAGAGTGGTGGAAATGAGGCTTGGGTTAGAGCAGCAGAATGGTTTGGTGCCAATAAAGTGTGTTATAGACTGCTTTAAGGATGCTGATCGAGGAGGTCAGAAGGATGTGCACCTTAGACGTTGTACGACATGGTAATGACAGAGAAGTTGTGGTTGCATGAGGATGTCTGGAGTGGCAGAGAAGTATGTTAGAGTGAGACAGCAGTGTCAGTGTCATGGATCTGCTTTATGCCCCATCTTGTTTGCTTTGGTTATGGACAGACTGACAAATGATGTTAGACAAGAGTCTCCACGGACTTTGATGTTTGCAGATGATATGGTGATCTAGAGTGAGAGCTGGGTGCAAGTAGGAGAAGCTAAAGAGGTGGAGATATAGACTGGACAAGAGAGGAATGAACGCAGACTCCATGTGTGTAAAAAGATGGACGCAAGTGGAACGGTGATGTAACAATGTAACGGGAGGTAGAAGTGCAGAAGGTAAAGGACTTTAAGGACTTTGGTCATGTTGTCTGGTTTAGAGAGTGTCCACGAGGACAAGACATGAGCTGCAGAGCTCAAGATGTTGAGGGTCTCTTTGGGAGGGATGACGATGGACAGGATGAGAAATGAGGACATCAGAGACAGCTCATGTGAGATGTTGTGGAGATATAGTCAGAAAGGCCAGACTGAGATGGTTTGGACATGTCCAAAGGACAGAAAATGATTAAAAGGTAGAAGGATGCTGAGGTTGGAGCCACCAACCAGGAGGCTGAGGAAGGCCAACAAGGAAATGTATGGATGGGGGGAAAGAGAAGATGAAGCAGCTGGTGTGAGGGTAGAGGATGCAGAAGATAAGACTAAATGGAGACAGATGATTGGCTGTGGAGACACCTGAAGGGACAAGCCCAAAGAGAAAATATATTTTTATATTACGGTTGCAATGATGTGGATTTGGAAATGATATTGTTAAAAAAAGCCTTAAAATATTTATTATACATCAAGTTTAGCTAAACTCAACCCTATTCTCGTTTAACGGTCAGTATTGTGCACATGCCAACACTTTGAGTATAAACCTGGCAGCTTCACAAAGGTTGGTGACCCCTGGTCTAGAACCTTCCCTGTATAAATGCCCAAAGACGCTGGATGGAGTCATGTCAGCAGCAGCAAAAACAGCTGCAGCAACAAGCCGTGTGTGTGTGTGTGTGTGTGTGTGTGTGTGTGTGTGTGTGTGTGTGTGTGTGTGTGTGTGTGTGTGTGTGTGTGTGTGTGTGCGCATTTCCAGCTAGAGTGCTAACCTCACAGCGCCACAGAAAAAAAAGCCCATCTAGACTTCCTATGTACACAGACCACTAGGTGACAAGTTTACACCAACAAAAATAAAAACTTAAAGACAAAACAGGTTTTCACTGACCCAAAAAACCTAAAATCTAGGGTTCCTAAATCTTCACAAAAAAAAAACCCTGAGCTTCACAAATAAAACCAAAAGCACACAGCTAGGCTAAAACTGAAAGCTAGAATCCGAATGAAATGATTGAGGCACGTTAAGGTTATGTGCTTTTTTAACTAACAACTTTTTTAACCAACTAGAAATTTTGCTTTATTGTGTTGCTGTAAATTCAAATAAAGTTAACATTTCTGTGTATTTCAACTTAAAGCTGCCCATTTAACTTAAAGGGATTCTAGGCAGTTTTGCTTGCTTTTAGCGCCCCCTAGAGTCCATTATTAATTATCTGTGCTCAAAACAAAATGAAACTTATCTCCTCGTGGTGCGTTGGTCTTTTTAACGCCTTAATCTAAAAGCTGAAGTGTTTCCTCGTTCATTCATCACTAAATTAAACAAATCAGCTGTGTTCATGACTGCAATGCCACGTATGTAAGCTCAATTTTTTTCTAAGCCCAAAGCCTTGTTTATGCCTCTGCGTCAGCTCCACAATGGAGAGACACACACGCCTCGATGGAGACATTTTGCTCTCGGACTTCTCCGTCTCCTGGGGAGAGTTGCAAAGCAATTCCCCGCCAGAACAACAGAGGACGTAGCGCTGTTCTGGGGTATCCCGTCATGTATCTGGTCCAAGATAGTGTGTTTATATTGTGTTGTGTTTCAGATACTTTTGTAACAGGGACAAATTTGTGCCTCATTGCCCTCGCCACCTCTAAACCCACGTTTCAATCCACAAATAAAATGCTTGCTTTTTACTCCAGTCATGGGGGAATAAAACGTTCATATTTTTAGAGTTTCTCCACGAGGTATTCTTCAAGCTGCTCCATGTCTGCCGCTAGATATCTTTGACTCACTCTATGTTTTTGAGGGCGCAATGGCGGTGCTGTTGACAAATGCGGCATCCTGACCAATCACAAGCTTGCATTCTCCGTCTCGTTGGATGGATGTTTAGAAACGTGGGCTCGACTCCGTCTGTCTGGCCTGCTGGAGAGCCATCGCAAGGACAGATAATGGCGTTGCGTGTCTCTGCACCGACGCAGAAGCATTAACTAGGCTTAACAGGAACTAGACTGACACTCTGAAGTTGCAAATGCCATTTTCTGGCCACAGGGGGCGGTGGGGGTCTAAGTGATGTTTCATTAACCCTATAAAGGGTGATTTTAGCACATACTGGATCAAGAAAATGATTTGTAAATATGAAAAAGTTACAAAGTATTCCTATAATATAAAACTTAGCTCAAAATGAAAAGGTATGAAAATGTTTTTTTTTTTTTGTTATTTTCTAAAATCTACAAAATATTTCAGGACATGTGATTTAAAAAAAATGCATGTCATCACCTTGCAAAAACATCCTCAAAAATAAAAAATATAACACCATCAAGGTGTTACGAGTGAGCTGGGAGGATCAAGTTACCAGACAGCTTTGCTACGCTTAAGTTGTGGAAATGCTATGAAGAAACAAACGGCTCACTTCAGAAGTATAACCCCTCTGATTAACTAAATTAAATGTGAGCTCTTTCTAAAATCCTACACGGCCTGATTAGTTTGCTTTAAAAAAAATCTGAATCCGGATACAAAATATTTAACGCCAAAAAGAAATCAGTTAAACCCAACGAATAACCAAAGTTCAAGCTAAGTAACCTTAGCCTAGTGAACTAGACCAAATTCTTGCTTTGCAAAGTTTGGTCTAGGCATGCTCCATTGGAACCTCAGCAGCTCCTACCAGGACTCTGGCTAGCCAATCACAGCTCTCTAGAGGGGTTTCAAACACATAAAGAGCTGTGATTGGTCCATAATGGTGGGCCAATCATAGTGCTCTATCTGCTCAGTGAACAAATCACAGAGCTTTATCCGCTTTGTGGGCCAATCAGGGCACTCTATATGCCTGGTGGGTGGGATGATGCAACAGAGGGAAACAAGAGTATGTCACATTCATTGTCCAGTGGAACGCGGAGATCATTTGAAAGACAACGGTAAAACCCGCCCCACAACCGAGAGCCGTCAATGGAGCATGGCCAGACTAAATAATACATTTATTTAGTCTGGCTTGCCAGGCTAAAGTAACCTGGCTTCTTACTGATGAAACAGTCTTTATTGTGGGAGGGCTTTTTGAGTTTGAGTGCTGTCTTCAGCTCCGTTGCTTTTGGACAGTACCTCTGTCTCAGTGTAGGCAAATGGAGCTTCGGATTTGCCGTTCTGATTGTTGCCCCTCTTGCACAGGCAGCACAGGACTCTCTCGAAGGTCTTCCTCATGTCGGAGTCCCTGAAGCAGTAGACGATGGGGTTGACAAAAGAGTTGCACTCGGCCAGCACCAGGCAGTACTTCTCCAGTGTCAACACCACGATCTTATCAAAATTCAGACCGTCGAGCAGCAGCACGACGAGGCCAGGCGTCCAGCAGACGACAAACAGCCCTGTCCAGGAAGATCACAGACACAAAATAAGCCAAATTAATATTAAAAAACCAACAATATTAAAAAGTAGGGATGTAAGAAATATCAATATGGCAACACATTGTGATATTTTCCTTCAACATATCGATATTCAAAAGCCGTGTATCAAATTTTTGGAAGAATTTACATGCAAACATTTGTGTATTTTCTTTTCTTTTGGTGTAATTCAAACGCCGTCCGCTAGTTGGCAGCAGTGTGCAATGGATTCTGTTTCTACCATTGAAATGTAAATCTCTTTATTATGGTTCAGAAACCTCACGTTACACATGTTATGTATCAGTTTGAATTTTCCTACAATAAATTCAGTCCAAAATAAATAAATCGCTAATATCATTTGGCTGAATGTATCGCAATATATTGCGATGTGTCGTATCCTCTCCCCTGTATCGTGATGCGTAACGTATTGCAAGAATCACCAATACACATCCCTATTAAAAAGAGATGGAGGAAAAGGAATGAACTGTAAATTCCTTCAAGTGGATGCATAAAACATACAGAACCGGTTAGCTTGTGGAATGGTTTAGTCTATTTGATCAGGTTTTATTTTCATAACACTTGATTAGGCATCTCAGGAATGCACACACTTGAAATAAGCTGAGCACTAATATACGCACACAAACAAACTGAGTGCAGAAATGGTAAAAATATGTGAAAACACCCTCCAACACTTAAAGACCATCGTGCTTTCCTCAAACCCCATAAAGTGGACACAACCTGAATTTAAACAATAAAAAGTGTTCTCTAGCTACAGTTTGAGAAACGGTCAAGATGTCCTCACTTTGAACAACAAACAAATAAGTAAATAAAACTCATTTGTAAGTTCGAGAACTAATAAGGAAGAACTGGATCGCACACACACCCCTACACACTCTGCTCTCCATACACAGCTGAAGATGTTTTCAGTTACAGCTCAAATGTATGCAACTCCGTGTCAGGACACGTTCAAGGCTTCTTCCCTCAACCTCCTTAAAAGACAAGAAGCCTGGCTGCTGACCGAGGGAACAAAGGCGTGCAACATTTTAGAAAAAAGTTTCAGGAATTTAACTTCGTTTATAATGTGTGAGGAAAAGGCAAAGGGAGGCTGGCAACAACAGAAGTGTGAGGTTAGATTAGAAGAAAAATAAAGAGGGAGGTTAAAAAAAAGTGGCAGAAATGGATCTGTGCTTAGAAGAGGAAGAAAAGTGCTGGTCCAACAAGTAGACAAGCAGCAAATTGTCTAGATTTTTCTCCTGTTCCTAGTGATATCTATGGAAGTTGTTTTTTAAATACTGTCAATAATACATAAGTGTTACATAATGACTATAGTTATGCATGAGAAACCAGTTACACCAGTGATCACAGCTCGCTGTTAAAGAGTTACAGAACAAAGTGTGTGGGAAGTTTAAAGCTGTGTTTGGAACAGTTCAGGTGAGGTTTCATGGTTTCCTGTCACGTTAGAAACTAGAACAAGAACGTGGACAGGAACAAGACAACCTGCAGTTAGAGAACAACCTCAAGAGCATCTGCTGCGCTGTCTACATGTTGTTATTGAAGTGGTGAGAAAACGTTGACAAGTAAATTATTAAAATTCCAGCAAACAGCTGTGTGAGTTGGTTGGTTAAGAGCTCAGGTGGTAATTTTGTTTAATTTACAGATTTCTTAGAGAAAAAATTTCTGGCTTACAAACATTAATGACTGGAAAACCATGGGAGTCTTTAGATGCAGTCTTCCTAAAGCAATGTCTTCATTTGTTTATTCTATTATTTATGTACATTTAGAGCTAACTTGACAAGCGAATCAACTGTGTTCCTTATAAGTACCTGGAGCCCGTCTCTTCCCACCTTGCCTGAGTCAAACAGAAACAGTATAAAAAGTGAGATCTGCCAATAACTTGACTGCCTGACTCACCCGACGTTCCATAGTCAGTGGGCACTAGGACTGGGCGATGAATACAAAACGTATCGTTATTGAAATTTCTGACTTTGACAGATATCATTTTTCTAACAAATTTGAATAAAAAAAAAAAAGAAAAGATGCGTGGCGGTTGGCGACGTTCATGTCCCTTTAAGAAGTGGTACCGCCTCGAGTCACATGACTAGTGGATACTTTTGTTTTTGCGCATACATGTAGTTGTTGTTCATTTATCGTTATCGGGGTGAACTCAATATATTGTGATATTGATTTTAGGCCATGTCGCCCAGGTTAAATCAATTTTTTTTCCTCAAGGCACATTCAATGAATTAATTTTAAGACGCCACAAAATGCAACATCTTCTCCGGATGTCCCAGGTAGAAATAAACATAAACATCCACAGACCTGGTATATTAAGTCCAAGAGCAGGGATCTCGAACTCCGGTCCTCAAGCACTGTTTAGTTGTTTACCTGCACTGCGATGGACTGGCACTCTGTCCAGGGTGTACCCCGCCTGATTGCCCGTTGACCGCTGGAGATAGGCACCAGCCCCCCCACGACCCTATGTGAACAATCAGGTTCAGAAAATGGATGGATGGATGTTTACCTGCTCAAACACCTTATTTTAATCGGCAGGTGATTAACAGGCCGATTCAACCATTGAATCAAGTGTGTTTGAGCAGGGAATAACCTAAAACACGGTGGACTGAGGTCCTCAAGGACCGGAGTAGTACAACCCAGTCCAAGAAAGTCCAGCACATTTACTTGGGAGTTTGACAAGATGAAGATGTCAAACTTAATCAGGCAATCTATCACAAAATCTTTGCAAATCAATGCATTCTCTAAATGTAAAATCTGTTTAGATTTATTGACGGAGGTAGATTAGTTCAAACTTTCTTCACTTTGTCGGTTTTTCGACCATCTACTCCACTATACGGAAATCCAAAGTCCAAACCAAAACCTGCAATGGAAAACATCAATGACTCTTCCAGTCAAATATTTCAAAGCGGCTTCAAAATGTGCTACCTTTGAAGAAGTACAATGTCTGAAGTCTCCAGACAGACTGGTGAGCCAATGAAAGAGTGCAGCAGAATAAGGCTACAAGGGGGTTTGATATTTGGTCAGGAAATACAAGCTAGGTATTCATCCCACCAGGGAATCATCTCACTGATCCCATATTTATTCTGCATTGGGAAAATGGCCCAAAATATGCCATCAGTATCATGAAGACAAATGGCATACAGGAATGGCCTTTTTCCATTACTCGGTGAAGCTCGACTTGGCGCATCTCTAAACAGTTCGGGTGGTGTTCCATTAGAACTGAGGAAAGGCTTGGGTTTATCACAGTGGGGAAGCCCCCAAAGTTAGCAAAGAAGTGCTAGGTAATCTGTCTGTGACAATAGAGAAGCAGAAGGTGATTTGTGCAGGATTGAAACCCCTAAAGAGAGCTGTGATTGGCCAGCCAAAATGCTGCTAAGGGCTGCGGAGGTTCCAGTGGAGCGTTCCTAGACCAAACTTTGCAAAGCAAGAATTTGGTCTAGTTCACTAGGCTAGGTATTGCTAGCATACATCCACAGATGATTAGTGATCTCCAATGATCTTCTAATGCTGGGAATAAACAACCTGCTTAGCCATTTAAAATGATCTGGGAACAGATTTTCACACAAATACTGACTGGTATACAAGTCTCAAAATTAGGTCAAATATTTGGAGCATGCATGTAATTCTCCCTCACCTAGAATCATTGAAACGGTCTTCATCAGGTTCATCACAGTCTCTCTGTATCTGTTCTGGCTTGTGTGTTGAGACATCTGCCTGTTCTTGTGCCGCACATAGAAAAAGATCCGCATGTAGACGGCCACCATGATGGAGAAGGTCAGCAAGTTGAGAACAGCCCAGAAAATCAGGTAGCTGCGGCTGTACATTGGTGCCATGGTAGAGCATGTTTCCAGGTTGCACAGGCAGTTCCATCCCATGTTGGGAATCAGGCCCATGCCGATGGACACCACCCAGATCAACAAGATGATAAGGAAAACCCGGCGTATGCTCATTGAGCTGTGCAGCTGCATGTTGAATATGGTCTGGTGACGCTCCACAGCCACCGCCAGAAGATTGAGGACCGAGGCTGTGAGGCTGGTGTCAATCAGACCCTGACGCACAAACCACTGGACTATAGTCAGCTTTATGGTCCAGGGCCCAGTATGAAACATCAAGTAGAGATAGGAGACACCTAAGGAGAGAATACAGGAAAGTTTTATAAGAATTTGAAAAGTGGGACAAATAGTCATAAATGATGCTGGATGAAATTCTAGGAAAACATGAGATGTACATGCTAAAACTATGAAACATGCTTCTGACAGTAAGAATTTTATTAAAATCTATCACAAGGTAGTAACAGGTGGATAAGCTTGCTGGGTTTGTCCTGGACTCTCACTACGGAGAATAAGAACAGAAAACCAACCTTACCTGAAAACAAGTCTGCTACAGCCAGATTACCTAACAGGTAGTAGATGGGATAGTGAAAGCGCCTGTTTTTAAAAATGGCAGCGATGACCAAGAGGTTGGAAAAAATAACTATGAAGGAAACAGTCAAACCCAAACTGACAACCAGATAGTCTCGCTTGCGCCAGTAGTCACTGATGTTTTTGCCACTCTCCTCATAAAAAAATTTGACTGAGTAGTTTCTGTAGCATCCATCTTTGTCAGGATATGCCATGCTGAGATATCAGTTAGATCCAAAAAAAAACAACAAAAAAAACAAAAAACGGCAGCTTTGTTGATGGGCAGGTCCAAGAACGAAAGACGGTATTCAGACTTGTCCGCCTCGATGGGATGGAGATTGGCATGCCATCAGCTGGAAAATGGTAGGAAATGGTAATCCAGCATCAAATCTGACGTGTTTTGCTGAATTAGCTCTTTGCAGTTTTAGATCCAGGTTTTTAATCTGCAGAGAAATAAAAAGGGTGTCAGAAACCAAACACAGTGAATTCAAACAAGATTCAAATGATAAGGTAATATCACTGAGATCCAATGATGAGAGCTTATCTTATCTGGCTGACTCATTAAAACTAGGCTTAATCTTTGCAGTCAATGCGGCCATTGGGGTTGCAATGATTACAAATTTTGGTGGTACGAGGATAGTCTGAAAAATAATCACGGATTCACAATTATTTTACATGAATCGATTTCACATCTGTATTAACATAAATAAATCACACACACACACATTCGATAAGTTATTGATAAAAGGCAAGATTACATTCTATAAACGTTTTGAACACTTGAAATATCTATTGTTCCTTTTCAGAGATTTTGTTTCGAAAAATTCAATCTACTACTGATTTGCAACGATGATGCTTTATCTCGACAAATAACAAGCCTGGAGGAGTTCTGGTGTGTGGTGGAGTTGCTAATGCTAACAGTTAGCTTCTACTAATCGAGACGTTCTCTGCCGTTTCCTGGATGCTAAACCAACAACAGCCTTCCACATTGTGAGTCAAGATGGGCGAGTCCATGAATGTTAAGTGACAGTGTGGCGTAGATCTGTCAGGATTTTCTAATCCTAGTGTTTTCAGAAGCTTTTGCAGGAGATATGGGTAGGAGGCTATTTTCATGTTCAACCTGCCTGAAAAACTCAGAAATAATCATAAAAAATGGTTTTTAAGTGAACCACACCTTCAATTATATTTGCCTAATAGCCTTTTGTGAGTTTCTGTAAAAATACAAAGATGTCTAACTGTTACTGTTAGCAATGAAAGATGGAAACACCTTCATTAATTAACATGCTAGATTCCCACTAGTGCAGTTGTTTTTATGAATTTTACTTATTACTTAAGTGTAATTTTTACTTGTTCATATATTTTCAAATTTCATTAGTAAGAATACTATTTGGACAAGGATAAATTATATTACTGCTATGTAGAACAAGAATCATAGAGGTGTTGTTGATTAAATATTAAAATGGCTTGCTGTACAGGCATGTTGCTGACAGATACAGGGGAAACGTAGAACAACACACTATGAACCGTCATTCACTGGATTGTTCTAATATTACTGTTAAATCTCTTCAGTCACTAACGTAATCCGACTCAGCTGGAGCTAATTTGTTTGTGTGATGATCTCAGAGATGATCAGTTGGGAGTTTTGCAACTTTTTTTCTGCCAGCTCTGCAGATGGATGAGCCATCATTGTGAATTTCTCTTTTAGCAGCTTTGGGGGTCTAAAATATCCCCTCAAAGGAGGCTTGAAGCGCTTCCTAGGTGGAAACGGAGCAGTCCAGGTGGTTGTTGACACTGGTTCTGCTGCATGCATTTGTTCAGTTTCACTTTTGCTTTGGTAGACATCTTTAAGGTGAATTTACCACAGCGTTTCACCCCGTGGTTAATAGTCAAACTGGTTAATCCTGGCCATCAGCATATTCTCCTACTTTTGATCATAACTGGAGCCAACACTGAAACAGAGTGAACATTTACAACAGCTCTGTCAGACTTTGCCATGTCAGATTTCTCTGATTAATGCCCCATTCCAGGGTTCTCTCCCATCTTGCGTGTCCCCTCTTGCTCCAGCATCAAAACTATACACCACCAACTTACTGGATGCATAGTTTCATGAGACCTGGTCTGAAGAGAGTGAGGTGAGCACTAACATAACTCTCCCGTACTAATTGGGATTGCCAGTTCAATTTGACTTATGGGAAACATTTTGGGAGGCAGACAACAAAAAAGCAATGACCATTTCTTAATCGTTTTCATGGAATGAGCAATGTTGGAGAAAAAAAAAGAAAAAGCTGTTTGAAAGATTTCTTTTTCAATTTGTTTATGAGAGAAAATGCAGTTGTATTGTGAAAATGTATTTCTGTACAGCGTTAGAATTGGGACAATATTAGTGCTAGTGCATTCTAATTTAAATTAGGGTACATATTTGCTTCCATAGATATTTACATACTAGTTTAGTTATTGTTGATGTATCCGTATACATTCATGACACTCCATGTGTTAAAGTTGTTAAAAGAGCCATCAACAACAGGCAAGCTATAAATGATCCCTAACTTTTCCACAGAAACCCATTTCAAAAGTTGTGAACTGTTGCTTTAAACAGAAAATTAAGAAAATTGAAGAAATTAAATAATTTATCGCACAAAAAAACATAAACCTCACATGATTGCCATGAAAAGAAACACTATTCAACAAATAGCCAGAACTTCACCTCTAAAAGTGCTAACTGGCACCCAGCCACCAGTAACAAACTGCACGAGTCTAAGTTTGCCTGAGAAACCACAGGTCGGAATCACGTTTAGAGCATCTGAAGGTCAAGTCAACACCTAACCTCTGTGTTATTGAAGAATTACTCTTCTGGCAGAGAAGAAAATTATTCCATGACTTGAGTCAGCAACGGCGTCAAGTTAGCAACAACAAAACAGGATTTGGCGTTTCACCACAGAACAGAACCATCAGAACTTCCGGGTAATTTTACCGGACCTTTTCGGTATGCGTCACCGAGCAGATCCGAAACGACCATCTTCCAGGCCATTTCAAGAACGATTAGCACGATTGTCAGCACAATTACAACCAGTTCGCCTTCAGCAAGACTTATGCGCTTACGTGCATTAAAAAAATGGCATCAGTCTACTTAGGGCAACAGTTCGGTTTTCTGATGAGCATGTAAACGCATCGACAGAGGCTGACAGGACCAAGTCATCGCGTGTGTTATTTTTTTCCTCCCAGAACTTTCCTGGAACTCCAATAGCGGAAACGCGGCAGTTACTGACCCAGTCCTCTCACTGCCCAATTGACAAACCTTTTACCAGACTATCAAATCTCGCATGATCTGCACTTACATCCAACACACCGTGATGTTCCAATGCTATTTTATTATTGGAGACTTGCAAAACATTTTGAAGCTTTCTGAGCCACAGTACCAATTCTTAGACTGGATAACATCCCCACGCCTAAATCAAATGAGTCGTGGCCACCCATGATCTTGTCGCTGAAATGACCGTTTTTCCCTCCTTAGACTACTGGGGTTAAAACTTTTGTCAAAGTTTTTTAAACCCTTGCCATTTTTTCCCTTTCCCCAACATTCAATTCATCCTAATAAATCCCACACACCATCAGGTACCACTGCAAAAGTAAGTCACTTCACCTTCCAGGGTTTATTGTAATTTTGCAGAGCATTTGAATTAATTCAGTACAATAGGGTAACTATAATACATTGTATTTAACTAAAATGTTACGCTAACTATGACAAAATATTGTGCATTTTTAAACTAACCGAACTATTTTCATGCCTAAAGGAGTCAATATCCACTTGTCCCCCAAACATACGTTAAGATACAGACTGTACAATCAAAACCAGCTAACGTTCAGAGCAGAACTTAACCTTCACAGCACATCACACAATCAACAATCTTCTTTAATCTTCTGTTTACAGTAAACCATTAAAGGCTGCGAGCCGCATTTTGAGGCAGCAACACTGGTCCACATATTTTCCATTTTCCCGTGAAATCAGAGCAGCAGCGAGACAGCATCCCAGTGCCATCGGTTCAACTCGCTCAACAATGAAAACAGCAGAGCAGCTCCCTGCTATTGAGACACACCTCACAATTACTCAATCCAGCTATGTAACCTCATCTCAATCCAAACACACACACACGCATACCACACACACACACACACACACACACACACACACACAAACACATGCACAAACACACAGGGAAGGAACCTCTGTGGCCAGGACTGTGTGGAAGGAAAAGTCAGAAACGGACACGCGGATGGGACACAAGCCTAAAAACAACAACAATCTGAGTAGCAAGTAAGGAAGGAGAGGTTAGCTAAATGTTTTATCAAATATGAGCCTAACATGGTCATTAAAGCCCAATCACTCTTTAAAGGAATGCTTATCTTTAATAACACAGAAAGGCATCCACCAACATTAATCGCTGTTTCTAAGCTCCCAGCACCAAAAGTATGCAGCAGAAATCCCTCCTCAATGCAGTAATTCATGGCACTTAGTGGTCTCTGTAAACTGTATTGTAAACGGTACTGTAAAAAACAGGAGATTCTTCTGGTCACTGAACGCCACGTTTTACGTCACACAGCTGCTCTCCTCGTCCCCAGCATGGACGTAATTTATGGGGGGCATGCCCCCCCCCCACACACACACACACTTTTCCAAAGTCAAGTTTTGACCCCTGCACTTTTTACCATCCAAAAACAATATTACGCTATATTAAATTGACACTGGTTGAGCTCTAGGACCAAGCGGAAAACAACCGTTTGTGTTGAAGCCTGTTTCCCATTAGAGCATACTGTAAAGCTACCCCCCCCCCCCCCCCGTGTCCCCCTCACTTCTAAAGGGAAAATTACGTCCATCGTCCCCAGAATGGATTAAATTACTGCAGACTACGACTAAATAAAACTTTAATGTCCGTGGACGCCTTTGGTGTTATTAAAGATAAAGCACGATTGCAGCATACACAAACTATATGCAGCATCACAGATTATGATAATGTGTGAATTACCTGCATTACCCCAGAGTGGGAAATTAGTTCATTTTGCATCTGTAGGTCAATAAAGAAATTAACAAATAATAAAAATATTGATAAAAATAATAATAATAGTTAAAAAAATTGTCATTAAAAGCTGGTTTAAACTGGTAATTTTTAAAGGAGCCTGATCATACTATTTAACCTTTGAGAGCAAAGGCGGGCACAATATATGATAAAATATTACCGATGGCACTGCTGAGCCTGAATTTATACCAGTAAATAAAGTTTGTTTCAGTGAAGCTCCACCCATGCTTGCTCCAACAAAATGCATCTTAGACGAGACTGCAGTTTAAGCGCCTGTCTTTCATCTCGTTTTGTCCTGTGCTGACGTTGATTTGACTCACGGTGTCAGTAATTTATTCAGCCAGCTGAGGCAGATTTCATATTTTTATATT